GAATGCTTTATGAGTTAGCGATGTTGAATGTCTCTATAATGATTTAGAATGTTTTATGAGTGAGAGTGTCTCTAAAGCATGTCCTTATATATATTGGGTTGTCATCGTCAAGTGAAAGGAGAAGGAGCATAGATGACCAACTATTGGATCTTGCCCTTATGACTAACTATTCACAGTCCACTTTTATGTGGACTGTTGCTAGCTTATTGTCAGTATTCCCCATATAATGATATAGAATGTCTCTTTAATGATTTAGAATGTCTTAGATGAATGTCTAATGCTCTTGAATATGATATAGAATGATTTAGAATGTTTGATACTTTTAATGATATAGAATGTCCCTTTAATGGTTTAGAATGTTTTATGCTTATAATGATATAGAATGTCTCTTTAATGATTTAGAATGTCTTAGAATATGATGAATGTCTAATGCTCTTGAATATGATGTAGAATGATTTAGAATGTTTGATGCTTTTAATGATATAGAATGTCTCTTTAATGGTTTAGAATGTTTTATACATATTACGATATAGAATGTCTCTTTAATGGTTTAGAATATTTTATGCATATTATGATATAGAATGTCTCTTTAATGATTTAGAATGTTTTATGCATATTATGATATAGAATGTCTCTTTAATGATTTAGAATGTTTTATGCTGAGGAATGTCTCTACATCTCTAAAGCATGTCCTTATATATATTTGGTTATCATCGTCAAGTGGAAGGGAAAGGAGCATAGATGACCAACTATTGGATCTTACCCTTATGACAGCTATTCACAGACCACTTTTATGTGGACTGTTGCTAGCTTATTGTCAGTATTTGCATACATTCAATATTGTTCGGGTTGGTCATCCAACAAGACTAGGATTTATAACTTTGTTAAGTAACTTTTTTGTTTAAAATTTTCTCAAGAATCTTGCAATTATAGCTAGATTATATATCTTTTTGCAAATTCATATTTCTCGAATATGTAGCGTTGATATAGCACAGTGGGCTTTTGTATTTAAATTAATTGATATTTTCAATCAAATTAAATTTGAAGAATTAGAGCATCGAAATATTACTAATTTTAATTTTCAAAAATTTTATTAAAGCTCGGATATCCCGATATTTTCATCATCTTCTGACAAAGATAGAAAAAGAAAAAATAGAAGATCACTTTCAACTAGCTTTTAACCACTGCTATTCTCTGGACGACTGACCAGTGTCCATTAATGTACTGATTTTTGTTCTTTTTTCCTCTTTGCGCCAGATCCAAAAATTCCCTCCATTTCGTCGCGTTCATTTTAATTCTCTTTCTCCCTCATTTGAGCACGCGGACCAGAGCAGACCACTTAGGATAATCGTCGGTTGGTGTTTTTTTCCCCGAAAATTAACCATTATCCCTGGCCATCAGTCCGAGGGAAGGACATTGAAGGCGCGTGAAAGAATCTATCACAAAGTGGCCAGAGTAATCTCTGTTATCTTAAGTGGACTCTTCGTTTATAGCTCCTTGGTCCTCGACCAGGCCACTTTCGACTCCTTTCTCATCCCCTTGACGTTGACGGAGTATTGTTCCACCACCGAGATTTTCCACCGAAGTTCCTACCCGCTAAGCGGATAGGGTAGATAAGAGGACGAGGGACACGGCCCTCGGAAAATGTCAACTTGTTGTTTATCTTACACTGACTTCGTTCTCGTCCATTTACCTACTGATGAATCTCGTGCCCTCCGGATCCGTGTTATATCTCGTAAAAGCGCGATACGTCGATTACCGGACGTCGTATCGTCGCAAGAGATCCGAGATGCCTGTTAATAATAAGAAAACTTGGCTATTTGTATGCAAAAGATGAAATATTTAATCGATGGGTGAAAGATTCCTTAATTATGTTTTACAGGGACTAAATCGGATTACTTCGTTTGCTTCTTAAGCGATCTTTTCAGATGTTGCTTGACTGATATGATTACGTATGATATAATGTTAAATATTGGATTGGATTTCCAAGATTCGTCGATGAACTAGACGAAACAATTTGAACTATCATTTCGTTGATATATATTTTAAATATTGAATGTATATATAGAAACACATTGCTCTGTCGACACACTTGCCATAAAATTATTATTTATTTTTCCACGTTAAAACATTTTGAAATTTCATTAGGAATGAGGTTATTGTACAAAAAATAATTAGCGTGCAATATAAATGTACTTGACTGTTCATATCCTGCAAACGTGTTTTAAGATACTTTCATGACTGTTTCAACTTCAATTTCACAGGTCTCGTCCCATGAAAATGCTATATAAATAAATTTCGAAATATTTCTACGAAATAATTCTACCGAACGCAATTAACGTTTCATTAAATTGTTCTTTCCTGTCGGATGAATTCGTTATCTTCGTTGTCTCCTTTCCATTTTCTTACCTTAACATCGAAGAGTAAAAAGGCAGGAGGGGGAGGGGAGGGCGAGAAATGAAAGTGATTTATTGCTTTCTGGTGTAGCCGGCCACGGTTGAAAGTCATATTCATCAACGTCCATCACCGGTCGTAATTACAGTCGAAATTTAATAATAACATCAGCAACTATATCGGTTTCGCCGCCGTGCATCCTTGAACCCATCTATAAAATGTATGAAATTAGCGGATAGGCGTGCGTAGCGGTGCTTCATTAACGGCGACGTAATTTATTGCTGTACGAGAGACAGTTAATAATAATGAGAATTTAATGGCATCAGGGAAACTTCGAAGTTTTCCGGACAAACGTTAATCATTTTTCGAACGCGGAGAGCACACGCGTGGCTGTGGCGTTGTTAATCACGGTGTGCCGCCCGTCAATGAGAAATTAATACAGCCAAATGGGAAAGGAGACGCGACGGTCCTCGACGCTTGACGGCCCGCGTCGAAATTCAACGAAATTGAACGTTTCGCTATCAGCCTGTGCGACATGCTACGAAAAGATCCTGCACGCGAGATGCGATCATGAAGCGTGAAATAAAATATTTCTCTGCAAGATTTCTTCTGTAATTCGCGTGTAAATTATATATTTCTTAATTTCTAAATTAATCGTAAGTGTTTGCAGAATGTGAATTAACAACAATTACTTTCTTAGGCAGTTGCGAATATTGTGTATCGACGATTGATCAATATTCGTCACGTTAAATTATTATTTTCATACATCGAAACTAATTAATTACATTCAAAAATGATAATATTCGTGTAATTACAATATAGCAATGGTAATTACAATGTTCATGTCTCTTAGAAAATTCTGTAAAAAGGTTGATTACATCTGAAAATAAACGATGCTCCAAATTTTTGAGTCAGAATATGTTTTTGAAAATAAAGAATTTGTGAAAATTTTACGAATATTTAAAAAATTGCATATTAATTGCAGTATATGCATCAATTAGAAAAATGAAGAACTGCGAAAAAGGAAGTTAAAGCTTATGAAATAAAGCTGATGTAACATACGTGTCGTGTAATAATTTAAATGCACGACCAACGTTAAGTAAAAGACTTACAGTTAGGATTTGTCGCTCGCGAATAACCTTAAATTATACCAAATTATTCCAAACTCGTACAAAGTTACTCTGCCATTTTTTCCTCGAACAATCCGCAACACTGACAACAAGTTAGCATTCGACATCCTGCGAAGAGCAGCGTCGCCGCAAACGTAAATAGGTTACCAGCGTACAGGTAACAAAGTTGATTACAACTATCGATTAACCGAAACTGAAAATCCGCCAACGATGGACTCGCGAGTTTCTGCAGACGAACGTGACAAATTAACAAGTCAAATTAATTCCAGTTTCTCATTATCAAGAGTTCAAAGACCAACAATTTTTCCATTGTAATCTGTTAATTCACTTCGTGGAGGATGCGTTCAAGAACTGCGAATCAGGATAGACTTTCAATCCGAGTGTTGGCAACACTGGCGAGTGGTTCTCGTTAGAGATAGTTGACCAATTCGATCGACGATGGGCCTGTAAATTTCTAAGACGCAAGCCGGCGAAACGAAGGATAATGAAAGGAGAGCGGAACACTGGGAACAAAGAGATGTGGAGGAAGCGATCCAGTGACACGTACGGATCCACGGTTCGAGAGAGAGAGAAGATCTTGGAGGATCTTGGCACCGGTTTGGACGACCGTTCGTGAAGCACGGTTATTCACTGGTGGCGAGCTGTCAATAACTTGGCCAGGCTCTCTTCTCTTTCAACTCGTGTCTGGCCCTTTGGATCACGTGGCCGTGTTCGTCATCGTTTGAGCCTTGTAAGAGATCCCAGTCCTCTGCCCTCCGCCTCGTTGCCTTTCACCGTCGCTCTTTCCGGCGTGGCCCTCTCGTTTTACACCGCTAAATCCAATTTCACTCCACCGCCTACCCTGAAGGATCTTTGCGGTGGCTCGGACGTCCATTGTGCCTCCCCTCCCCTCCCCTCCCCCGTTCTTCGTTTCGCTTCTCCTTCGTTGCTGCCATCGGGAAAAGCCACCGATTTCACCACCTTGGTATTAATCTTTCCTCGTTATTAGCGATCGTCGGAGCGATAGTCGGTGCTGTCTTGTTAGTAATAATTGCGAAACGGTGAACTGATCTGAAGCAACGAACGATTTAAGTTTGCGTACAGTCAACGAATATTTCCCCCTGGGTGGAATTTTGTAACTCGCTTGTCTAATCTTGTAATTTGTTTTGTAGGGAAATTAAAGTCATTATACCCTGTCTCTTAAAAGTTAAACCGATCAATTTTCTTTTTTCTTTTAATTCATTGTGTGTGCAAGTAGACGATTAATTTTAAATAATATTCATTTATCATGAAAAGATGAGATGATTCTAGTTCTGTCATACCTAGTATTTTGGAGTTCGTATTTATTGATTTGGAACAGTTTGTTAGATTTGGAAAGACTGATTCAAGTTAACCTCTTCGTAAAATATATTTTATCATAGAGAATTTCTCACTAGATACTATTTTTTTCGATCGTTGTATCCATCAGATTCTAACGACATTTTCTTCTCGTTTCAGGTAACTGGTATCGTTGGACGAGCAGACGTACTCGCTTGCATCTTTTTCTTGTTGTCGTTTCTCGCTTATCACGGGTGAGTATAATTTCATATAAAAATGCTTTTGCCCAGTGGTCATCGCTCTCTGCGCAGTTACTTCATTATAATTATATTTTGCTTACTCGCTGCTAGCCAAATTAAATTAAACTTATTATGAAGATTTATATACTTTGCACCGAACGTGATAATTAGATCGCGGATTTTCATGCAACTTCAAATTTTTGCACAGCGTGGGTTCGTTTCGCCTCATAAAATTATATACTATGAACGTGACTGAAGCAGTAATGATGAAAAATTGTCGATATTTTAAATCGTTGAATAACTTCAATCTGCTTTTCATTTCAAAGCTTTTACTTTAATCATCCTAAGTTCGTTTTTTTTCTTCCAAAGATGTCTTTACGTCAAGAACACTTTTATTCTCGAAGATTATAAAAATTCAAACACCTCTGAAAACATTGAAAAAATTTTTTTCACGACTTGATCTATCATGACTTTGAAATTCTTTTTACAACGAACTCTTAAACCTTGCTGTACGACTTTTTTTTCACTGACTCTGGTGAAATTTATATCTAGAATAGCGATGGCAACACGGTGGTAAAATTTGTAGCTAAAAAATACTACAAAACGCTACGCATTATACTTGTCTTGCATTCCACGTGCAAATATTCAGTAAAATGTTATTTACGTTAAAATTCTACGCGCGTGTCGCTGCTCAGTCGCTCTATATTTTTTTACGTATATATATTTTTCCAAGAAATGAAAGTTTCGTTATCACTTTAACTATTTCTTAATTATTGCCGCGCGATCTATTGTTTAAATCTCAGATCCAACGAAATTGAAATACGCAAAGAGAAAAAGAGAAAAGGAACACGCCGGTTCCACAGACATCAATCTATGAAAATTCGAAAATGGAAGCGTGTACACTTCTCATCCCCTCCGTTCCGTTCTGTTTATCCCCGCGTTCAGGTCGCTAGTAACCTAATAAGGTAGCGTGTCAGAGGCATAATACACCCATAACTTCACGGAACTTACCGCGGGCGCACATACGTACGTACGTCAGCGACGTCGGGCGTCGCTTAGCGCCGAGACGATGCCGGTCTGACGCCGAAACAGTGGCCCATTCATTCTCATGAGCTGCTGGGCGGTGTATGTGTGTGTGTGTGTGGAAATTATAAACTAAACTAATTTACTCCGGGGCAGGAGAGGCATACCAAAGCCAACGGCCGACTATAGTGCATCGGTGGCTAGTTTTGGTCACTGTACAACGTCCACCAACCTCCAACCCCTATTCTCTGCAACTTTCTTCTTCCCCCCTCCCTTCGCTGGTCGTTTATATCGATCCTTAAACGTGAAAATATAAAGTGCTTACGAGCACGATCCCGCGAACTTACCGCGGAAATCTTTTTATCGTCGGTCTAAGAGGATTCCGGACTTATGCATGGTAAGCGATGTAACGGCTAGCTCGTCGTCGTTGTCACTGCCGCTCGAGCTGGGGGCCTAGAAGAGGTCGCTTGACTTGCCCGACTCCCGCTTCTGGTGTATTAAAGTGCTCTTCTCAAGTTGAAGCTTCCTTTTTTTTTTTTTTTTTAAGTTTTTTTGAAGGTCGTCTTCCTCCTGGTTTCTTTTTGGAGGGAGCATGACAGTAAGAGTATTTTTAAGGGATTTTTAGTGTTCGATAGTGAAAGGAGGAGGTAACGTGATTTCTCCTTCATGGGATTTGATTCGAATTGATAAGTGATGAAAACATTCATTCGAACACCCATATTTTGTGAATTATTTGAAAATTCATTTCAAACAGAAGCTTAAAATTTAAATTTAACGCTATAAAAGTCCTATTTCAATATTTTGCGATATTGGGTTAGGTTTGAAAGTTTCACTCTTTGCACTTGACTGTCCCTCTTGAAGCGATACTGTGCTTAAATCTGTGTGCCAGCAGCTCCGACTCCCTCTTTTTATAATTTTATAAGCTGATACAATTGTAATGAACGTGTATACATTTACTGTTGCATGAAGCGATATATAATAATATATCTGAGCAGACGTCTAGAGTGAAAGCTGTAATAACGACGTAAAACAGAATGAAAGAATTTCGGAAAAAAAGAAATTTCTGAAGGCAATCCTAAATTAGTCAATTGACACTCAATAATTCACATAATTCACCTAAACTAGACTTTTTATTGCTTCTTGCGACAGTTGAAAAAATCGAAGGATATAATTTTTCTACAAATTGAAACCACGTATCATTAACTATTGTATATTATACATGTTCTAGCAAACCCGCAATACCCGTCGAAGACTGCTTTAAACTTAAACGATAAAGATATGACGAACAAAATTTCGTGTTAAATGCCATTTGAACGATTATTTCCACTGCTGTGTCGTTTCATTTGAAGTGACGATGCTTCGTAAATGATACAAGAACCGTTTGTCGAGGGCAAAGGGTTAAGTTAATAATTCGAATTGAAACTGAGAACATTGGGTCCTCGTTATTGGTGGCTTGTAGCGATCTGTACTTGAAGTATTTATATCAACGATATCTATGTTCATTAAATCGTTTCGTCGAGATGTATATTTAATATAAACAATAGAATATTTAAAAACTGTTAGTAATTTTATTATCACCATGGAAATGTTTACAGACACTTATATATATTGTAACCATAGTAGAAATTATTCATTCGTTACTTAACTTCCATTATTTAATCTTCATTAAATTATTAATAATTATATATTTTGTTATATTGATATAAACAACTAAAATTAATTACGGAGTTATTATTTATTTATAGTACTGTGATATAAATTTAAATTATCATAATCACTACAGGCTTGCGACAGCTCACTCCATCTCGGTTTTCCAAATCGTGATCTCCGCCGCGCGAATCTCGTCGCCCAAATTAGATGCGACTCGACGAGCTCGGTGTTAACATTTATCACTCGTCCGTTTACGCTTTCCGACGAGCGTTATAAACAATTTTTTCCTTTTCGAATCGGGAGTTCCGCGCCGCGAAGGGGAAGTTACCCAACGAAAGCAACAGCAGCGCTGCCTGTTCGGTGAAATTAATTTCGACGAGCTGGACGGGTCCACGTGATTAAACTTGAACCTTCTCACGGACCCGGTTCGCTTGGGCCACGAGGAAAAACGCGGCTCGCGTCGCAATCGATAGCGGCACTCTCGACGTCGAGCAAATGCGCGCTTTTTTTCTCTCTCTCCCCAATGAAAATAAGGGAAACAAATATCGAGAGAGCGGCGCGAGTCGCGGTATATCGAGAGAAACGAAGGCGCGTAGCTCGTAAATGGCGGGGAAAGCGGTTGCTCCGTTTAAATCGGCCGTCGAATCGGGTCAGTGTGCCAACCCTCGAGCTCTTAGGTAATGAATCTCGAATGAATATTTGTGTTAAAAAAAAAAAAAGAAAAAGTAGTTGGAAGGGAAGGGGGTGGAGGAGAATGCGAAACGTTTGAAAACAAACGTTTGTTGTTCGAAACCAGTGACATCGTTCGTCGAATTGCTGAAACGTATTCGACTGTGAGCCAGCGAACGTTATAGTAACGCGGAATCCTTGGATCTCTTAGTCAGTTGAGGCGTGGATGCGTCGTGCCCACCCTTTTCTCCCCATTTCTTTTCAACTGCTTGCGCTGGCGACTGGTTCGCGGACCATAACGAGTCACCGAACCGTGTACAATAATTCGTCGCTTTCCTTTTCTTTTGAACTCGTCGGTACGATATCGCTGGATAAAAATTATCAAGAAGTATAATAAACTTATCATTCGTTTTGCCTGGGTTACATTTAAACATACTTGAAACTGAGAAAATGTTGCAATTTGGGATAAAAAATTCTCGACGTACGTGGCACGTCATTCCAGCGCGAAAGATTAAAGGGATAACTGTTCTTCACGCTATTTCACGGTGGATTTTATTTTAACAAAAATAATTTTTGACTCGTTGTTTCATATTACTGCTTTCCAATTCATCACGAAAGAAATCTCTCTGTGTGCGTATTTTTCTGACTGTGTGAAGAAAAGTAATTGCTGCAGAGTTGCTCGTGAAAGTGAATTTCCTTGAAATTGCAGCAGTGATCCTTCCATGAGAGCGTTAACGATTCTGATTACAGAGCGTAACTAGTATTTTTCCGTGAATTATACCTACTATTTTTCCGTGAATTTTCTAGATATCAGCAGACGTGTGCAATTATATCTTTGTGTATATTGAATTGAAATTTTTATAAATGAATTATACGTTGCAGTAAAGTTGCAGAAAAGTTATTTATCAACGAATAATTGAACGAAAAATATAATACACGCAGAAAGTTTCGTCGCAAAAATATGAAACTGACCCGGTTCAAATGTTCTTTCAATTTTCACATCTTCGGTTTCTTCTTTCTTCATTTCTTGAAACTTGTATCCTCCACGGACGGTAACCGTCGTATTTCCCGTTCTTTCTCGAAACATCCCGTTCTCCTTCGTTCGAATCATAAAACTCGAAGCTTTAGAAAAAACTATCCGAGAAGCGTGACGATTCTGTACTCGTGGAAGGTCGCGAGCCGCCAAATACGTCGAACGGAGGGCGAGTTTTTCGAAGAACCTTGGGAGAGAAGAGTAAAGCCATCGTCGAGGTCGATCGATTGACAGCTGGATGCCGGATAAAGCGGTTGTCGACGAATCGAAGCAATCCATTCGCCGGTTTTTCCATTTCCCTTTGGTTTATCCTGTCCTTTCAGCCGCGATACTCCGGCCTTATCCGCGTAATTGCCACCCTTTAAATCCGTCGATACGAAAACCGGATCTACTTTCCCGCGGCTGCTTATGCACACTTGCCCGGAAATTAAGTGGCTAGCGACTTACGTTGATCAGAGCTCTCGATCGAATCCGAACGCTTCGTTTCTTCGATTTATTACTATTACCGTCGCTATTTCGTTCAACGTTCCTTCGGAGGAGCTCGATGCTCTTTCGACAGTTTAATATCCTTCGGCGGAGCGGCATCGCGAAACGGATTTGCATTTTAAATTTTCGGCGTCAAATATTTATGAAGGCTTCA